GGTTTGGGGTTTTGGGTTTCGAGTTTCTGGGATGTACTGGAGTATGACTATGTGCGGACTATAGAGGACTATCATTATCAGTAATCGCCATATCGGCCATGGAACCCCAAAGCCTCAAGCCTAACCTTTCTGGGAGAGGACGGAATTCATGTTGGGATGGCCACTCACTTGAAGATGTTGCATGGTCTGGATTTGGGCTAGAGGGCCCTCAAAGCCAATGCCTGAATACTTCCGCACCGTCTATAACTGCTGTACTATACTATACTATACTATACTATACTATACTATACTATACTATACTATACTGTACTGTACTGTTCTGTACTGTACTATATTACGCTATACCGACCTATACTGTACTGTAATACTATAATACTATAAAACTATAATACTATAATACTATAATACTATAATACTATAACACATTAAAACTAGAATATTCTATACTATATACTAAATACTAAAAACTGAATACTAGATACTACATAGTATATACTATATACTATACTATATACTATATACTATATTTTACTATACGATAAACGATATGTGATACACTATGTACAAGGTACTCGGTATGATGTACGATCTACGATATACCTTTGTCTGCATACTGTATACTGTACACTACATACTGTACTATATACGCTATACTGAACAGTTCAACGAACAGTGGCTTATTCTTTCACTCAGTGTTTATATTGCCGGCGTTTCTGAATTTGAGGGCCATCTGGAGGGGGCCTTGTCTTCAACATGTCGGAAGCAATGGTCGGCGAAGCCCTTGGGACTCTCAGAACCCGCTAAGCTAGCATAGAGTATAGTTTAGTATGGCATAGTTTAGTTTAGTATAGCAAAGCATAGTATGGTATAATATAGTATACTTACCTTTTTGGTTCCTACAGACTGCTCCCTAAACCCCTTCAAGCCCGAAGTCTGGATTAGGGTTTCGAGGTTTCGGAATTTTTGCAATGCAATGCCAAGGTTCCACGACGGTCATCCTCAGCTGCTGATTTCATTGAGGAAGCCATATGCAACGCAGTCACTGTTTAGGGGGGGGGTACTCTCAACATCGCCCTAAACCCTCAACCCTAAGCCTAAACCCCTAAAGCCAAAGCCCTGAAGTGTTGCCTCATGAGCATTACGTACACCGAGGAACGCCCATTCTCGGAAGGTCCCTATGAAGAGATTGACGTTCCCGGCTTGGGGCCGTAAACTCTGAGCTCTAAACCCGTCATTGCAAGTTCGGGTCGGCTGTGGGGTGTTGGGGTACATAGGAACAGCCAGTTCCCCATGTCGAAGAAAGAACATTCCTAGGTGTGCTTATTGCTCAGGCCGGCGCTCAGGGTTTCGAGTTCACCCCGGCTTGCATTCAGGAATCATATACTTGTCCTTTGCCTGGCCCAACATCACGAACGATTAGCAACACCCCCACCCCAAGATCTGTACCTAAAAAGTGGTCCCGAAGATAGGTTGCAAGCTGTCACGCTTCTGAGACTATGATAATATTGTATACTAGTATATATATATATATACACACACACTAAACCCTAAACCCTTCCACCTACGCACAGTTCAGCCGGGATGCATTCGAACTTCATGAATCACGCCTGCACATGCCAGCTTCATGCAGGATGAGTCAGTGCTTTCAGAATCAATGTACGTGCAGTGAACCCGGCCTGAAAAACTCAAGCTTCACGCACGAGGCAAAAGAGACCAGCTACACTCACCGCTGAGTCAGAGGAGGTCTAGCGACGAAGATGAATGAAGCCTCCGTTGTTAAAGCGGACGAGATTTCGGGTCTTTGTTGCAGTGGGTGGTCGTGGTTGGGTACTGCCCCCCTATACAGAAACAGTTCATAAAAACTCATTCGATAGTGCAGAGGCCTGAATCCGAGAAGGCAGCTCGCTCCGACTCCTCGCCGCGGGAAGCGTCGAAGCCTCAGCTGGGCTCGTTTGTCTAACGAAGAAAAACGCTTAGGAGTTTAGGGTTTGGGGTTTGGCGTTTAGGGTTTATAGGGTTCAGGGAGGAGTGATGGGGCTGTAACAGCTAGAATAGGGTTTTCTTGTCTGTTAAAAACCTGAAACAATCTATCGAAACGGAACCCCTTGGCAGCTGCTTTCAAAGCAAAAAAAAACTCCAAGATCCTAAAATCCTAAAGCCTCGAAGACCTACGATTAAGGTCTAGGCTTTGGGGTTTCAAGGTTCAGTCTTCCGGGCTAGGGTTTAGGGTTTAGGGTTTAGGGTTTAGGGTTTAGGGTTGAGGGTTGAGGGTTTAGGGTTCAGCAGCTCCGGATCGAGCAATCTGCAGTCGAGCTTTCGCTATGGAAAAGCACCCACCCACCCAGGAATCCTCAACATGAGAAATAACACGTTGTATCATTATGTGGCTTATAGTTCTGCACTTTCGGCTCAGATTACGTCTGCTAGAGATCGCCAGATTTCCAACGAAGGAAGCGGAATCGCTAATTTTGCAACGGCGAAGGCCGGGATTCATTGTAATTTTGGCGATTCCGTCGGCTGGAAATCGTCAAGTTTTCAACAAAGAAAATGGAGAACTCGCCAACTTTCCGACGAAGGTTGGTAGTTCTTTGGAAGGTTGGCGATAAAGCACCGGAATCGTAAACGTCTAACGAAATAGAAAGCCAGGAATTCATTGGAACTTTGGCGAAAACGACCCGAAATCGCCACTTTTCCTTCGGGCAAAGGAAGCCTTAAGGGAACCCTTCAAGGAACCCTTGACATAGACCGTGCAGGCACCCTCCAAGCTCTCGGAAAGCCCTAAGCCGCCAGAGGGTCCATGTACCCAAATAGTGTTTTCCTTGCCCTTGAAGTACTCCCTATACAATTCCTTTGGGGGCCAAAGTATGTGGGTAGTTGTCCAAATTAGGGTCCCTTTTGGGGTCCTTGTTACAAGGGTGTCGTACTATATTGGGGACCTAAAAAGGGACCCTAACTTAGAGAACTACCCCAATAGTAGTTTGGGAGTTCTTTATTACCACTATAGTATAATGGGCCCCAAAAACCCTATTCTAATTATTAAGGGCCCTATATTACTGGGGGGGATCCCATGTATCTAAGGACTTTAGGAGGGACCCCTAATAGGGACCCGTAATCCCATTACTTTAAATAACCATTGTATAGTCCTTATATACCCCTTATATAGCCAGGTAGTCTCCATATTAACCCCAATGACCTACAAGGGTCCCTATTAAGGGTCCCTCCTAAAGCCCTTAGAATGTACTATTTGGGCACATGGACGAAAAACCCTAAACCCTAAACCCTAAACCCTAAAGCCCTTTCAATGTACTATTTGGGCACATGGACCCGAAGGGGTAAGGGAGCCTA